GAGCTACTTTATACCAATCATTTCATATGGAAAGCCTTCAAACTGATAAATAAATGTAAAACTGGGTTTTGGTTGGTGATATTCTTGGGGTACACAGTAGAAAAAATAGTCTATACAGTCAGACCACTAAAGAACTGTCATAGATAAAACAAGCCCCAATACTGTAAGGATACAATATCAAATTATAAAACACATGCATATTTTTCATCATGAATGGGTCAGTAGACAGAACAAACAGCAAGATGAGGGCACCAATAAATTGAGATAAAAGAAAAAGTGGTCTAGAATCTTAAAAATAATATGAAATAAATTTGTTCAAATAATTAAAGACAAAAGCCTCAGAATTATATTTAAAAAGAAGAGACTATGTGAAAGGACACTTGAAAAATAAACAAAGAGTAATTTTAAAAATAAAGATATAGGAAATAAAAATTTTTTAAATGGACACCATTCAAAAGCAGATTATAGACAGCAGAAAGAAAAACTAGTGAAATGGAAGATATAGATTAGGAAATTACCCAAATGCAACCCAAGTGTTTAAAGATATGGAAAATGTGACAGATAAATGAATATGTAAAACAGAAGTAAAAGCTCTAGTATATATCTAATTAAACTAATATATATCTAGAAATAGAGAAAAGTGAAAGTGAAGAAGAGTGAAGTAAAAAAGAGTTTATTCTAAAACTGGTTGAAGACACAAATCCCCAGATGTAAGAAGTACAGTGAGCCCTGAACAAGATGAATGACAATCAATGCAGCTTCAGTCATAACACAGAGAACCACCAAATCAACAAAGACAAAAAAAAAAAAAAATCAAAGGGAAAACACATTGTGTATAAAGGAGCAATTCAACCAGTCTCTCAACCTCAGCACTACCGACATTTCGGATCAGACAAATCTTTTTTGTGGGAGTCTGTCTTATGCATTGCAGTATGTTTTAGCAGCATCCACAGAGTATATCCGCTCACTGCTAATAGCATCCTTCCCTCAGTTGGGACATCAAAAACATCTCCAGACCTTGTCTAATGCTCCTGAAGGGCAATACTGCCCCTGATTAAGGACCAATAAATTAGACTGATGGAACCTGCAACAGAAACACTAGAAGTCGTGGGACAATGGCATAACATCTTCAAAAATGTTTATGGAAGAAAACTATTAACGTAGACTTGTATACACAGCTGGGGGCTTCCCAGGTGGCACAAGAAGTAAAGAACATGCCTGCCAGTGCAGGATATGTAAGAGATGCAGGTTCGATCCCTGGGTAGGGACAATCCCCTGGAGAAGGAAATGGCAACCCATTCCAGTGTTCTTGCCTGGAGAATCCCAAGGATAGAGGAGCCTGGTGAGCTACAGTCCATAGATCGCAAAGGGTTGGACATGACTAAAGCAATTTAGCATGCATGCATGTATACCCAGCTAAATTATAATTCAAGAGCAAGGGTAAAATACTATTATTTTCAGACAAAGATTGTCTGAAGTATATGCCAAAAGAAGAATATAACGGACGTACTTCAGGAAGTAGAAGCATTAAACCCAAAAGGAAGCAGGGGGATGGAAAAAGCAATTTCCATGACCCAATAATTCCAACTCTTAGTATGTAGGCCAGAGGTATACTTCCTTCTAGGGACTAGGAGACATGTACAAGGATGTTTACATCAGCACTGTTGTGTCAGCAAATAAAGTGGAAATCAATTAACCCTCTACCAGTAGGGAAATGGGTAATTTAGAGATTGCTCATTCTTACAAGGAAATTAAAATGAATCCTGCAATTAAAATGAATTCTGTTGATTTACATGTATCAATAGTTATATATTAGGCTCAGCTTCTAAGTCATGTCTCTTTTCAACCCCATGGACTATGCAGCATGCCAGGCTTGCCTGTCCTTCACTATCTCTCAGAGTTTGCCCAAATTCATGTCCACTGAGTAGGTGATACTATCTAACCATCTCATTCTCTACTGCCCCCTTCTCTAATAGCGTCAATCTTTCCCAGCATCAGGGATTTTTCCAATGTATCAATAAATATAAAAAACATGATGCTAAATGAAAATCAAGCTTCAAAATGATACTCTGAATATGAAGCAAAATATACAAAAATTAAAACACATAAATTAACAGAATATTTACGAGGACCTTCATATATAATTGGAGAAGGAAATGGCAACCCACTCCAGTACTCTTTTCTGGAAAATTCCATGGACTGAGGAGCCTGGTGGGCTACAGTCCATGGGGTCGCAAAGAGTCGGACACAACTGAGCAACTTCACTTTCACTTTAATATATAATACAGAAAAATACATATTTACTTTGGAAAGAGTAGGTGGTGAGAATGGCTTACAGTTATCTCTGTAATACTGTATTTCTTTTTATAAAAAGAAATCTACAATAACTATGGCCAAATTTTAACATGCTCTTTTATCTCAGCAGTAGATACACAGGTAATTTTAATAGAGATTATTTGGGCTCTGTGCTCTTTTGTATATTTAAATGTTTCATTAGACATTTGCCCAGAAAAAAAGGAATAAGACAGAAGGTCTCCAGTCTGGCCATCCTCATAACACTCTAAAGATGAGTAAATGTATGTCAAGTGGCAAAACTGTTCTTCCTCTCATCAAGTTTTACTTTCAAAAACATGAAGCTACCTCTTAATAGCTATTAATATTTTTTTCTTTTAGGAAAAAAACATGGGTGGTAGTGATTTGTGACTGCGTGTACTTTCTACTAATTTGGTTAAGATAGGTTCCCTTATATTGAAATATCATCTCTTTACGTAATGATGATGATGGGTGCGTGCGTGTTCAGCTGTGTCTGACTCTTGCAACCCCATGGACTGTATCTCACCAGGCTCCTGTGGCCATGGGATTTTCCAGGCAAGAATGCTGGAGTGGGTTGCATTTCCTTCTCCAGGGGATCTTCCCGATTCAGGGTGTAAACCGGCATCTCCTGCACTGCAGGGAGATTCTTTACCACTGAGACACTAGGGATGCCCAGCAACGATACAGAAAATACTGATAAAGCCATAGCATGTCTTGCATACATAAAGCACTCTAATAAAAACGGCCTCCTGCCCTCTAACAGCTATTTCATTTAGGTGGACAGACTTGGTTTCCATCTTTCCAATGAGAAGAAAGCTCCCACAGAGTGTCTACTTGCTTAGAGCTGAAGGAGTCTGTATGACAATATGGCCCCCAAACCTTCTGTTTTAACTATAAAATGGGAATAATATTTCTCCGGCCAAAACCCCCTCTTTGTGGAAGGGAACACCTGAGATAATTCACAGGAAAGTCCTCTGAAGAATGCAAAACCCTCTACAAAGGCTGGGATTTATCATCATTTTCAATGTTATCTTTAGTTCATTTTTTAATAAATCCTTTTTTTCCCCATAATGTATAGACTTAACATTAGGTGAATACAGAACTCTTCTTATGATACAAATGAATGATTTATACAGAAAAAAAAAGAAAATATGGGAATTTTTATAAGAGATGAACTTTAAAACTATATGCAAAGACAAAGTTCTGGCAGGAGATATAGTAAAATATTACCAGCGTTTATCTTTGGGCAATTAAAAAAACACATTTTTATTTTCTAGTTTTACATAGTGGTAATAGATTACTTTTGTAATCAGAAAAAAAACCCAGAAGTAGTCAGTATCTAGTTATTATTTGAAACATTTATATTTGAAAAGATTTCACAAACATTTAAATAACTAATCTTATATAGTACTATGCAGTTCATTAGGAAGCAGTTTTTAAATGAGTCAATCCACAGGGGAGAGATGAGTTAACTTCTACAAATTAACACAACATTGTAAATCAACTATACTTTAATAAGTTTTGAAAAGCTAATTCCTACACTGACATTTTAACATTCAAGATTTCTTTTTTTCACTTGTTAAGTGTTAAGACCACTTAACAAGCATTAAGTGATGTTAAGATCTGGGATTTCTGTCAACTATGTGTATTTGACGCTCAAGAGCTTTTTGCAAGAAAATGTTGTCGCCACCTTCTGGCGGCCCGTATTAGTGGGATGGTCTTTTTACCTAAGTGACATGAACTTCAACTTTCATGTTCTAGAAACTGTCCTCTCTTCTGACATCATAATAATGGCAGAGTCTGTTGAGATATTGTCTTCTGGCTAGTCCATGCCTTATATAGTTTTAATCCTCACAATGGCCATAAGGAGTATGACCCTTTAATGAACTTGTAGAAAAAGCACAAAGAGGTTATACCATTTTCCCCAGGCTACACAGTAAGCAAATGACCGAACTGAGACACAACACCAGAAAACGGCAACGCCTCTGCTGTTCCTTGTTACAATTGTGTGAAAAGCAACTGTAAATCTGGAGTGTGAACGCTATCAACTGTCACTGCTAAAACATTTACTGAGGAAGCACGGGAAAAAATGAGCAATTAAACGCCAGATGATCTGGGACTGAATCATCCTTCAGTACTTTACTCCTTGCCTGAGACCTTGGGCACATCACTGTCCCAGAGGGAACCTTTCCTTTGTGTCCTACATGGCTTCTGTGGGGATAAAATGAGACAAGGAGTAGGAAGGCACTTTGGAAACTGCTTCCTATTTGCTTACACCTCTAAACAAAATGAGACCAGCAAAAATGTAAAAATCTGAACTCTATTATCTTTTGTTTTTCATGCAGACGTGGCATCTTAGTGCTGTGACCTAAAGTGTTACCTTTGGTTTTGCAGGGGACAAGGCACCAATGCTTATTTAAATGTGCTTTTTGCATCTGTAACTAAAATATCAAAATGCTTTCCACTGTACTGCCCAATGTCCACTATTCAAGGCCCAACTGGATAAATTACTTTAATTCCGGGAAAACACTCTTTACAGGAGAATATGCTCCCTTTGGTACAAGAAAAGAATACCAAGCTCTCTCTGGCTTTGGCTGCCAGGAAATTTAATTTAGTGTTCAATGGAGTCCATCTGCAGTTGGGACCACCCTCTCCCAATAAGCCTTCCCTTCCTCGGGTTTACTCACCCTTCTCTGCAAGCGTAAGTGACAGTGTTCCCGAAGGTGAAGTTACTCCCGGTGGTGACAGCATCTTTGATGGCCGGAGGCTCGCCGCAGGAGACCAGACGGCAGGTAGGTGGCGCTCTGTCCCAGCTGCCCGAGGCCGAGCATTCAATGACTGAAGGGCCCTGCAAACTACAGGAAAGAAAGGTGCCGCTGCTTTCACTGGCTATTGACTTACCGCTCTAGAGGTGAACTAGGAAGGACTTAGGAGAGAACAGGGGCCACTTGGGAATTTTAACACGTGAGCTTTCTTTCTATTTTATTGTTTTATATAAAAACAAAGGAAATCTGAGTTTGGCTGTAGATTCATTTAAAACTATGAGTAGGCTAAAACACATAGCAACAACTGGGGTATAAAATACAATGGTTTAATGTGCTCTTTGGTGATCTTGTCAGGTGCTCCAAACCTTGTGATTAGCAGATCACTTGGATGAGAAGCAGTATTAGGCTGGTTAAGGTCCAGTGATAAGGGAGACAGACACCCAGGAAGTCAGAGTAATTCAAATCAAAGGGCACCATCCTTGCCATGAGCCTGGGCATCTGAACAGTGTTGTTCATCACTCTGACCTCTGGGCTGCCTTTGAATTTAAAAACCTAGGAGTTCTATGGCATGGTTTACCCAGCCTCACTTGCTAACCAGATTTTGATTGTACAACTCACTCCATTTTCCGTTCAGTTGATCTGTTAGCCAAGTTTTTGATCACAGCCTGACTCTTTCACTTCTTTTTGAACACACACACACACACACACACACACACACCATTAATCAATTAATACCTCTTAACAGTATTAAAGATCCAGGCCCTATCTTGACATGATTTTTTAACAAAATTCTATGCAATGTTTTGTTTACCAAAAAAAAAAAATCATCAAAGCATTTTATTAGGTGTTATGTTATGCTTCATAAACATTTTTTGCTTTCATGTTTAGTGTCTAAATGTTTATAGTATTGAATTGGAGCTCTCAAAGTTAGATGAAATATTTCCCTGAGCATTTACTATAGGCTGAGCTTTAAGAAGCAAACATGTTTAAGAATATCTTTTACACTTAGAAACTTGTATTTAGAGCCAGCCAATCACATGAAACCCACTGAGTAAATAATGAATAACAGGGTACTATAGGAAGCTGGACTGCTGTCTAGGACTGTACCTGTATCCATTCTCACATGAATACGATGCAGTAGAAAGATAGGTAAGCCCACTCAAAATATAGGTCCCATGATTTATGTCTTCGGGGCTAGAACACTTGACCAGTTCACACACAGGAGGAGAATGACTCCAAGAACCACTAGCAAGACACGATGATTCTTTCTCACCCTCCAGAGTATATCCTTTATTACACCTAAAGCAGATAAAAGAAAATGACAGAATGGAATTCACTTTGCATAATTTCATCTGTACCAAAACCTCCAAAAAGACTAAAACTTTATACATATTGCTAGACTATTTCCTACTGAAATAATGCTTTGAAAAATTTTTTTTCAACATTGAATACTATGCATCTTGCCCACAGGGACCCTGCTGGGTAATAAAGAGAAGGATGGATTTAAGCATTTGATTTGCTTCCAGTTTGTGTCATGGGTTAGCATCTGCCCACAGAAAATTCACTCTTGAAAATTTAATTGAAGTACAGTTGATTTACAATGTCGTGCCAATTTCTGCTGCGCAGCACAGTGATTCAGTTATATGCATGTACACATTCAGTTATACATATTCATATATATATGTGGCTCAGATGGTAAAGAGTCTGCCTGCAGTGTGGGAGACCTGCGTTCAATCCCTGGGTCGGGAAGATCCCCTGGAGAAGGAAATGGCACCCCACTCCAGTATCCTTGCCCAGAAAATCCCACGGACAGAGGAGCCTGGCAGGCTACAGTCTATGGGGTCACAAAGAGACACAACTGAAGCGACTTCACTTTCACTTTTCACTTTCATACATTCTTTTCCATTATAGTTTATCATAGGATGTTGAATATAGTTCCCTATGCTATACAGGAAGAACTTGTTTATCCATTCCATATATATATATAGTTTATCCATTGGATAATGGATATAGTTTATCCATTCTATATATAGTAGTTTGCATCTGGCTAATCCCAAATTCTCAATCCTTCCTTCTTCTCCTCCCCTCCCCCTTGAATAACTACACACCTGTTCTCCATGTCTGTGAGTCTGTTCCTGGTAAACAGAAAATTCCTGGTTTGATAATGGTCCTATCTAAAATAAATCCTTAAGATGATATGAAAGAAGGCCCTACAAGCTAATGAATATTTTTGGTCATAAACTGGAGCTTTGGATCCAAGCCCAAATATAGAATTCAATTAATTCCATATTAATCTGAAAACATCCTCTGGGATTACTTTGTCTTTTTTTTTTTTACGAGTATTTTTTGACTGCCAGCATGTTATCAATAACATCTACAATGCAGTGTTAATCTTAGACACTCACCTATATATTACTTTATTGCCATAGGTAAATACAGATCCATCAATGTCACCATTTTCTGGGATAGCTGGTGCAGCACAGGAAACAGCTGAAAGACGGAAAACCAACAGGCATTGCTTTTCATAGCCAGTATGCGTAAAAATCTCTTTAAGGGCAGCTCCAAGACTCTGGTCATGTTTAAATATGAGCCTAGGGACTTCCCTGGTGGTCTGGTGGTTCAGATTCTGCCTTCCAATGCAGGGGGTGTGGGTTTGATCCCTGGTCAGGGAGCTATGATGTACATGCCTTGTGGCCAAAAAACCAGAACATGAACAATAGAAAGAAAACTGGAATAAATTCAGTAAAGACTTTAAAAATGGTCCACATCAAAAAAATCTTTAAAAAATACATTCAGTCCAATATTGGGCTTTAAATATAAAAAATATTGGGACCACACTTGGTATTTCTCCACCCTGACTTTCTAGCACTGCTGTACACCATACGCAGGGGGGAACTTACTCAACATACCTTCACAATATGGTATCAGATGACTCCATTCTCCAGACTCCAAACATGTGAGCCTGGCCGCCCCCACCAGCTGGTACCCTTCTTCACATGAAAATGTGACCTCGGCACCCACGGTATAAGTCTCCCCAGAAGAGTGGCCATTTTCTGGATTTCTGGGAGTCTTACATTTTATAGGTTCTTGAAAGAGAGAAAACAGTTTTTGTGGGTCAACAGGGTCTTTCACATAACCACATGAGGTCTCATAGCAAAAGAATTCCACTGCAGTTAAGGTACCAATTAAATCTTGAAGGGGGGAGGAAAAACTTCTGAAGGGAAAGGCATGAATTCCAAGGACAGACCAGATCATTTAATAGGCATTTGAAAAACAGTATTTTGAAACAGCAATGAATAAGAAAAAGAAACAAAATGTCTCTGTCCCCAAAGGAAGCTGTTTAGGGAGGAACTGGTGGTGGTGCCAGGGCATGGCTCAGAAGGGCTTCAGCCCCTGCTCCTCCCAACCTCATCTGTTGTTGGTCAGCCGCTCAGTCATGTCCAGCTCTTTGCAATCCCATGGACTGCAGCACGCCAGGCTTCCCTGTCCTTCACCATCCCCTGGAACTTGCTCAAACTCATGTCCTTTGAGTCAGTGATGCCATCCAACCATCTTGTCCTCTGTCGTCCCCTTCTCCTCCTGCCTTCAACCTTTCCCAGCATCAGGCTCTTTTCCAGTGAAAAGACCACTTTTTAAGTGCAACTGACTTTCTCTCAAGATGATACAGAGGCAGCCGCAAAGCACAGTGGGGGGAAGTTCCCCACCTCCCCTTTCAAACAGCCCCCAGATCATAAGGCTGCTGTGTGCAAATCCAGGGTCAGTCACCCCTTCTAGGAAGGGGGATTATAGAAAGGGAGATTTAGGGCTAGAGTCGAACAATGGGACCAAATGAACACTGAAATTCTCAAAAAAGGGAGATACACTGATTCAATCTTTCTGAAGATCTCTTGGACTTTACATGGAACACTCGCAAAAAGTAAATGCAATTATAAGACTGATTTTGAGAATTCCTCATTAAGTTCTAATTTTTCAAGTAGCTGCTTTCTCACAATTAGTATAGAAAGACACTGATGGGGTGAGTATTATCGACCTTACCACAAAATACAGGTAAAGCAAGTGGTAAGGCAAGATGTCTATTTTTTCCCAATGATTCTGTGTGGCTGAGGCAGAGGAAAGATTCTGAAAGAGAAGAGGTGATGAAGTAACCTCTTTGCTCTGCCTGAAGGCAGCAGGGGCCACCGCTTATACTTCTAGATTCACTCTATTATTCTTCTATTATGGAGACATTTCTTCAACAGTCAGGTGATAAAGTTGGCTCTCAGTTTTGTTTTTCAGAAATTGGGATCTATGGCCA